ATTCATACCTATATTCACGCATATAATTATGATTACAAATACCAGACATTGTATTAAATATTTCAATACCCGTCGACGTTAAGGACCGGAAGAATGTAAAAATCAAAAGTTTCTAATAAATCTGTAATATCGGAATCGGTTCCGTATTTCTGGACCAACTCTTGGGCAAAGAACTGAACGGTTGCGGGAGATATCCATTCTCGGGCGTGAATGCCAGCCTCCATAAAGATGATCGGTTTATTCTTGTTTTGCTGTCCAACTCCTATACGAATCAGTTTTAAGTCTCGTTCTTCATGCGAGAGCCCAACGCTCTCAACGCCCGCTATATTTGGATATTGAGCTGTAATCGCATCCAAAAAGGCATGAATTTTGGCCAATCTTTGGTAGTCATCGAAATGTTTGTCCACAACATCTGCTGCGGTGTCGATATTGTTTAGCGAATGGTATGGTTTGCGCTCTTCTTCAAAAACTCTGAAAATTGCAGTTATATTTTGATTAATACACATATTTTGAAATATTCAATGATTGAAATACTTTTCTAAGTCATTAATTATAATAGATTTTTGCGAAAATCGTTTGCTAAATATTCTATCAAAAGTTTGGTTAAGTTGTGGCGGAATCATCACATCGACAGGTCTGCCCACATATGACGGACCCCTCCAGAAGTCGAGCTGAGAAACAAATGAATTGTGAATTCCGTGCCATAAACTCAATCAACGCTTACCTCTAAAACATTTTCTTCCAATTGTCGCAAATATCTGAGCTGTGATTCAGTGGTCGGTACCAAACGGACCACAGAATACCCGTCGTAATGATCAATGCCTTCATTACCATTGACACCAATGCGTACAGCAATTGCCAAAAATGACAAAATTAATAAATTAAAAGCCATTTTTACAAATCTCTGTACAATTGTTTAAAAGATCATTATGGTTTTGATTCAAAGCTTATAGTTTATATAGACATTGAAATAGAAGTCTAATAAATTATTATTTGTGCCGAAATAATAGTTTATTGACTGTAATAATCAAAACGAGAAAATTCATTTATAATTTATGAAAATGATCTGAAATGTCAACTCATTTTTATCCGGAATATAAATCTTAAAAAACTAAGCACTTGTTGTTTCAGCAGTTCTACCGGCACTACAACTCGTAAGTATAAATCCTAATAAAATTTTTGAATATAAATCAATTTATCACTTATCCTACTCTTAATTACCTTAAAATACAAATAAATGCATAGAAGTGTTGTTTAATGTAACAAAAATTTTTCGTGATTTTAGAAATTCATTGATTTATGAAATAATGTCACGTTAAAAGTTACGTTGTTCGATCTATATCATTTGTGTGACAATTATATTGTTTTATATTTGTTGTGAAATACGGTTTATATGTGCAAAAAACATTGTTATAAATTAAATCCAATAATGTAATTAAAAGTAGAGAAATATTTATGGCAATTATCATCTGAAGAATCATAAGTTTTAGTAAATAGTTGAGAAAAAGGCATATGAATTGTGGTGTTATCAGTGCTAAAGCCTTATCATGAGTTTCTATGTATGGGGTTATTGTGGTTGTGATATAGAAATTAATGTAGTGTTCAAATGATAACCTATTCATTCGATTACAAGTTTTGTAACAAATCCCTCATAATATTGAACAAAAAAAGAGAAATAAAAGACATAACAGTATTGAAACCAAGAATAAAGTTTAGCCGAGAGATGAGATACATGTATGTACTTTACTGCGAGAAATATGCAATGAATAAAAAACTAAATGAGTATTTAATGCCTGAATTCAATGAAATTTATGAGCGATAAGAGGAGGAAATATTTGATGCATTAATTGAAGACTCATTTCCTAATTTGAGAAAAAAGAAAATTTTTCACTTTTCTTTCCATTCATATGATATGAATGTATGCCTTGAATGCATGAATCGATTAATTTTCTATACTTTTCAATAGGTTTGCCACTAATTATAAGGTTGTACTCACTCTTCAAAGAGAGTGTGGTTTAAGTTTGCAGTGAATTACGTAAACCTTAACTCAATTCACAACTCATTCGTTAGC